TTTTTTTTTTTTTTTTTTTTTTTTTTTTTTTTTTTTTTTTTTTTTTTTTTTTTTTTTTTTTTTTTTAATCAATTAGGTCAAAGCCAGGGACCCATTTTTAAGTTGTTATGGGAGAGAGATCCTGCCAGTTTGGAGCCTGTGTGAAGAATGCATTGGGATGTGATGCAAAGCACTTGAGTGTGTATGTTGTTTTTAATTTAAGAGAAGCTGTTATGCTTGCAGCAGCCTCTTCCTGTCTCACTTTGTACATGTGCCATCGCTCACCCGGCTGTGCTTCTGGCTCTTCTGCTCACCTCTTTGCCTCCTTTGTAACACATTTGGATGTAAGTGCTGTGTCCTGTTTTTTGTTTTGTGTTTTTTTTTGTCGTTTTTCCGTGTGTGTGTATAGACCTCGTCCTGTGTCAGTACAGTGTGCAGGCAGATACCTTTTGTGAAATTGGACTGCGGGGCTGGGGAAGGTGTGGAACGCAGTTGCTTGCTTTTTTTTTTGCTTTTTTTTTTCTTTCCCCAACATCACCTAACCCATTTTTTTGGAAAGCAAAGGCATCCAGGGTGGCAAGGCTGGCAAAATGCATTGGTTAATTCATTCCCTGTTCGCGACGGCCTTGACTGAGCATGCCATTCACATAGTGCCTGGATGCTGCTCTCCTCAGTGGCTTGACACAAGCACTGTGTGTACTGGAGATGCTTCCAGGCTCTTGTGTGCCAGGTACATGCCATGTTCCTTAGCAAAGTTGACAGCCTTGGGCATCTTGAAAGCCAAAAGTGGGATCAGAAAATTCTTATTTATTCCCCTGCCCTACTCTCCTTTCCCAGTCATAATCTCAAACCAGGTCTGCTTTGCTGTTTTCTTGCTACAAAACTACTGAGAATTGTAAAAATAGTCTAATGGCTTCCAGACTCCTCTCCTGCTGTTTTGTACATTCATTGGCATCTTTAAACATCACAATGCTGAAATAGCCATCATAAAGCTCTGCAGAATTGTTACCCAATTAGATTAAGTTGGGCAAGCATGTTTGAATTGAAAACACCACCTGCAGTTCAGCATGGTTTATAAACACTGCCTGTTCCATTTGTAGTTGCCCCAAGAGAGTAGAGTGGACTAGGGGAAAGTACTGCATGTGTTTTATATGGGGGGGAGCTGCTTCTGTGGATTAGTATCACACCTGCAGTCTAGGCTTTGAGAACTCTCACTTAGTCTAGAGATTGGGCGTTAGCAATTATCATGAGACACTTCTTCCTCATAGAGAGAGAGAGATCGGCAAAAGAAGGGGAATTTGGAAGCTGTCCCTGAGGCAGGTGTAACACCTGAGAGAAGAAGATGCTTTGGTTTCTGTTTGGAAAATGCACGCATCTATTTAATGAGAGAGTTTTGAGGGGTTTATAGAAAGGAATGGCAGAAAGCCATGCATACCAGCAGAGACTATTGTGGGGTGGGAAAGGTGAAACTTGGGATGTGCAGTGTTCCTAGTCTGCCCTTTTAGGAGCGAGTGCCTGCACTGACCTCAAGCAGGCACTATTAACAGTTCATCCTCATTTCTCCCTGCCTTGTGATAGAGCAGAGCAGGCTCAGAGGATGTTAGCCAAGTTTTTCCATATATACACCTTAAAGCCACTTCTGCTGAGACGTTTGCCTGAAGTGTTCAAGCTTTAGATGAGAAGTGCTGTGGTCTGATGTGTCCAACTGCTATAGGGATGTTTGGCAGCTTCCTTGTTTCCTACTGCAGCTCCAGCGTGGGATTGCATTCCCAGAGTCCAGCAGGGAGGGGGTATCTCCTTAGTCATTGTCTTTTTCCCCTCACTAATATTCCCCTCACTTAGTCACACAGGTTTGGCAACTGCGTTGCTATCCCTCTGTTTGCTTAGAAAGTAAATCCAGACCTGCTCTGAGATGGGACCATCCCTTTTTCACTTCCTTATTTGATCAGCTCAGCAGGGAAGGATAGTTGCCCCCAATCCATATCTGACTTAGGGTAGAGTGAACTGGCAATCTGACAAGCATTTAAATGCATCTGCCAATGGAATGAATGGTGGGGCTAAGAGAGGAAGAGGGAAGTTATTTTACTTCTGCTTATAGTACTGGAACTGTAAAATAGTGTCCCCTTTTAAAAAAAAGGATAATGACAAAATGTAAAGGGAACTGTTCCAGTGACTGGCTTCATGTCTGTTCAAGTAACAGCCTATAGTCCCCTCCCTGCCCTTCCCCTACCATATGGTCCCACTTCACGTGCAGCTGCCAAGGAAGGTAGATGGCTGGGTCCATGAAAGTGCCCTCAAAAGGTATCTCGCCAGGGTGTGCGTGTGTGTTTGTGGGTATGCAAGTTTGTCTAGATTTTTCATGTAGGCAACTAGTGTGAAGTGACCGGCTGTCTGGCGTGTGCTGATTAGCGTTGTAAATGGAAAAAAGCAGAAATCTTGTACGCTTGTATTTTCAATGTATGAAGCATAAAAGTACTGAAATGTACAGTTCAGTTTGAACAAAGGGTTTCCCCTCAGAGTTTATGCAGATAAATCTAAGAACTTGTGGCATTGTTACATATAATACATCATATGGAAAATATAGAGAACACTGTAACTTTTTCATGTAAAGCAATGTTACTGGCATTAAACAAGTTGTGAATTTAAGTCTGTCACTGCATGAAGCATGTATAGGAGTGGTCTTCTCTTGTGCATGCCAGTTGACTGTGCACTCAGATATTTAAGTGGACTCTCATGCCACAGACTCCCCTGCCTTGGGACAACAATCAAAGTGACCATATAAACATGAAATTTTGCATCATTTTTTAAAAACATCTGTTTATAATAAGACAAAGTATGGCCCAGGACAGATATGATGGGATGTTTTAATGGAGAAGGGTGGGGGTATCATTGCATTCTCGATTGCTGTGGTATGTAAATCCATCTGGCTTCCTCTAGTCTTCACCCAGCTGTCTAATACAGTGGTTCTCAAACTTTTTCAGACTCAGGAAATGCCAGCTCTTAGCTTTCACTCTATTTTTCTGTAGGCAAAAAAACCCAAAACCAAAACAATTTTTTTGTGCAAAGAATTCAGAAAGATCCTAATAGGTCAGAATGTCTCTGACACTCCAGATTCCTGTGTGAAAGCTCTACATTTTATCTTGTGAATCACGTTTGTACACCTACCAGTTTATACCATTGCGTGGCACCCTTGAAAGGCTCTCAAGGTACAGTATAGTGCAGCGGCACACTGGCTGAGAATCGCCACTCTTGTAATTCCTGCCGTAGGAATTTAGCTGATGGATCTGCTAGTATCCCCCAGGCTAGGCTAGATTCAGTCTTGCTCCCCTCCATTCTTCTGGCAGAGGGAACTAATCAGTTGACTGACCTGCCAGTTTTAACATCTTGTTTTAGGCTTGAAAGCAGCTCTATGCAAAGCTTGCCTCCTAGAGCTCACTAGGTTTGTCTACACATGCAAATGCTGCAGGATGGGTTTACTCTAGAGTAAATTACTCCAGGGCAGAGGTTCTCAATCCCCAGGCCATGGCCCGGTGCTGGGCTGCAGCAGGTTGGCTGCCGGTCTGCAGCACGGTCGGCTGCCAGACCAGAAATGGTTGCAGACTGGCAAACTGTGGCCCACCAGAGCCAGGTGGAGAGGCTGTGGCTCCTTGCGCAGGGCCTGTGGCAGCGCAGGGTGTGGCCCACCCCACTGCCTGAGGGATGGGGCTATTCTTACCTGTCTTCCAGCTGGAAATTCTGGCCACAGTTGGCTGTGACTGCTGGGTCATGGGTTGCCAGGCCACGCCATAAAAACTTCGGGAACCCCTGCTCTAAGATAAACCCACCCTGGGCAGGTGTCTACATGTGTGGCGATTTGGGAGTAAATTTGCTGCTCCTGGCAGCAGCCTGCTCCCGGCCCTGCACTGGCTTCCTGCAGTAGCCGGGGGGAGCTTTAGGCTCCTCTTGGGTGCTAGCCCAGGGGCTGGCAGGTGAGCACAGGACCAGCAGACAGTTGTCTCTTGGTGGGGGCTGAGAGATTGCTCCCTGTCCCTGGGAGCTGTCTGCTGCCGGGGCAGGCTCAGGTGGCAGAGCCGAGGTAGCGACAGTGTCCACCTGCCCTGGCAGTAGGGAGCTCCCAGCCCCAGCTCCCTGGGGTGGGGAGCTTGGAAAGAACTGCAGGGGAGGGGAGCAATTGCAGAGCTGGGACTGGGAGCTCCTTGCTGCTGGGTCAGGGGGGCATTGTCCAGGCCCAGGCTTCAGTGGCAGAGCCCGCCCCTGCAGCAGGCAGCTCCTGAGGGCAGGGAGGGAGCAATCTCCTGCCCCCTGCTGCCCATCTACCAACCACACATGCCATACTGCACAATAATTAATCAGCAGTTAATTTACTACTTGCATTTGCAGGTAGCAAATTAACTGCTGAGTACAAGAAATTAATGTGCAGTAAGGGTCGGCACATGTAGACAGTGATGCTTACTGTGCAGTAATTAGCTCTACTGCACAGTAAAGCGTCTCTTGTAGACATGCCCACTAAGTAGGAATGTTAACCCACTTGGTTCTCTTGCACAGTTCTAGGCTCCTTACACACATTCAGTGTGACACCCTCAGAAGTGGGTCATATACATACACAGCAGCAAGCTGAGCTGAGTAGCTAACATACTCCGAGGTATTGGTGGCAAGAGAGGAAGCACGTACTAGGGGAGTAGGGAACGGCCACAATCTGTGCTGTGTGTATTTCACTGGAGATTGCCAGTGTAGGGCTCTGGGATGGCAGGATGCAGGTCTCCTTCCTCCCCTACCTGCTAATCGACAGCTCTGAGCAAGCCTCCAAGTTGGTTTTGTCTAGACGTCAAACTACCAGGCTGTCCACAGTTTGTCTGAGCTGCTGCTTCCTGGATGTCTGACCCCGTTATGTGCTTCACCTCCATGTTGAAACCCTCTAGGGCACCCAAGGCAGAGGATCTGAAACTACCCCCCTCCAAACCTCTTGATTTCTGCCCCCATCCCTGCTACCAGTGACAGGGGAGTGGGGTGGGAAGACCACATTCTCAGAGAGGGTTGCTGCGCTAGGACAGGCTCTGTGTGTATTGGGAACCCTTCCTTTAGCAGAGCAATGAACTAGTAGCTTCCCGGTGAAGGAAATGCATCAAACCAGTGAGAAGGCATCTCTCCAGAGGGGGAATTCCTGCTCCATTAAGGTACCCAAAGCCTCCTCATTCCTTTGTTTCCCAAGGGGATGATGTAAAGCAGCTTCAGCTCAGCTCTGGCAGGCCACACTGCCCTTGGGCTAGGATGAGAACAGCCCAAGGGGAATTGGCTCTGGCCTACTGCAGCAGGGGCCTGAATCCCACCGGCTCGGTGGTCTGGAGAAGCTGCTGTAGCCCACCTGCCATCCCTCCTGCAGGACCCAGCCCTGCCTGCTGGGACTTCTGGCTGTCCCTGCTGCTGCCCGGTTGCCCGGGGGATGGTTGCCATGCTCTCCTTACAGCAACAATAGCCTGGATATGGCAGCTGCCTTGCAGGTGCAGTGCGAGCCGTGGGCTGAGAGGAGGCAGCCATGGAGGCCCTGGATTTGGAGGCAGACCGTCCATATGTCCCCCAGGGGACTCTGGAAACTGATTTCCCCACCCCCTTGTACAGGTGAGAGACTCCCCGTGCCTCGGAGTGAAAAGGTCACGGTGGGAGTGGGAGGCAGAGCTGGGCTGGGCTGGGCTGGGCCCCAGCTGGGGGTCAGGCAGCCTCAAGTTTTAGCACCTGCTCTGTTGCCAACTGTGGCACTTGGCCGGCTGGGCCTTGGCTTCCCAGGCGGCACAGAGGGCAGCTGCAGTGTAGATGCTCCAAGTGCTTTGCGGGCACGAGGCACCTTCCCTGTCTCCAGCACCAGAGCTGAGGGGTGAGATGTTGTTGGGATGGGGCAGCATGGACCCATCTACCCTGCACCATAATCCTCAGTCCAGAAGGGTCTTCCTGCTCTGCCTCCTGGTTCTCGATAGACCCCCAAGCACGTCCCCCCAGTAGCGTTCCCTGCTGTGTATGTGGGGTGCGGGAGGGCTGAGCCACCTTCCAGGCTTTCCCCTTTCACAGCTGGCTGTTCACCCACCTGTCAGTATGGGGTGGGAGGTGTGCTCCCTAGGCTTGGCTCTGACCTGAGTAAACCTTGAAGCCCTGATCATCTGTGGGGAAGCACCTTTTTGCGAGCTTCTCTCCCAGCTCTCCCAGGGCTGGGCCTGCCTCTTGGCCCTGACCTGGTGCTCTGGGGGCATGTCAGGGGTTCACCTTGCAGTTGGGGCAGGCAGATGGGAGGTGCTTAGAGTCCTGTTTGTAGGGCATGGAGTGCTTGCAGTGGCATGGAGCCCAGCACAGGCAAATCAGAGTCCAGAGTATGGCAGCTGAGGGGTTTGGGCAGCTTGTGCTGTGGGCTTGTGCCATGCCAGCTCAGGTGCTGCACCCACATCCGTGTTCTAGTGCCCTTGGACCTGACTCAGGAGTGAGAAAGGCCCCAGGTGGCATAGGCCAGAGGGGATGTGACCTGACAAGTCAACGGAGGGGGCTCTGGCTATGCAGCACCTCCTGTTTGCAGGCCCAGTGCCCAGCTCTAACCACCCTTCTTGTTTGCAGTGACCAGTACCTGACACTGCGAGGGCCCCGCAATGCCCCCATCCTGAAGCAGGCCGTGCGCTGGTCATGCACCCCCATGGGCTGGGATGCCCGCGGGCAGACCTGGTACACAGGGCTGACGAATAGCGACAACCGAGATGCCTGGTACACACTCACCAGCCCTGTCAGCCAGGAGGCCTACCTCCGCTGGGCCCAGGCCCATGCCAAGCGGGAGCAGAAAACCCTGCCCCCTGGTAAGCTGGAGCGGGGGGGACCTAGAGGGGAGGCTGGGCCACTTGAAACGCCCTGTGAGGCTTCTTGTTTCACCCTGTGCTGTTACAGTTGGTGGTGCCCTGCCTCTCTGCAGAGCCAGGTCCCACAGGGATTAATGCCAGCAGCAGCTGCCTCCACTGCCCTACAGTAGCTGTTGGCTTGAACTTAGCAAGGCATCTGCTGCCTGCCCAGCCCCAAGCATTCCTCACAGCCTCCCTCCCCTGTCACATGCCCTGCACTGGCCTCCTGCTGCCAGAGGAGCTTGAGTTAGCACCAGCAGTGGGAGCAGGATGTGCTTCTCTGCCCCCACGACCCCAAAATGTATCCTCACCTTGATGCCAGCCAGAATGTGAACCTGGGGCAGGGCACCTGGGCTATGTGCTGGGCTGGCCAAAGTGTGTTTCCCCCAACGTGTAGGGCAACTTATGCAAAGAGCTGTAGGAGATGAGCCAGCAGCCCCAGGGAGGACAGCACCAGAGAGGTGTGTTGGTTCCAGTGCCTGCTTGCACCAGGGCTAAGTGCCAGTTGCCTGCATTAACTCTGCGTGGCAGAGGTGCTTTTGACATGCACTGAGTGCTTCCTTGTGATGCTGCGCTCGTGTTTTCCTGCCTGCTGCACCCTGCTGATGGAACCTGAAGGGGCCCCCGTCTCTGTCTCTATAATTGTCCCCACTGTGCAGCTAGGAGGTCCAGGCTATGCTTGGGAAGGGAAGGAGTACTGCTTGCACACCCCAGCTCTGCCACTGCCTGGCTAGGGGACTGCTGGGCAAATCACTAAACTGCTCCATGCCTCAGTTTCCCTGTGTTGTGAAGCCCAGTGCATGTAACGCTCTGTGCCTTCCTCCCTGGGAGACCCTTGGGGGCATCTGGTCATTCTGGAGAACACCTGGGAAGTGGCATTGAAACAGTCCCTCTCCTTCCCAGCGCCCTGCCCTTTCCATCCTGCCCGTGCTTCCCAGGCTAGAAGACAGCAGCTCAGCAGAGTAGCGGCATTTCCCTTCCAACATCATTGGAAGCTTTGTGTTGTTGCAGACATGCGAGTGGGAGCTGCATTTCCTAGGACACCGGGCTCTTCAGGCCAGAGCTTCCTGTTGGCTGCTCTTTCATTACCCCTCAGGTGCATGTGCATGAGCACGAGGGCTGGAGAATACAAGTGAATGTCAAATATCCTTCTCCCCTATGCGCTGCTGGGGCTTGGAGTGCCTGACACCATCTCAGTGTGTGCTTGTAGATAGGTCATCACATGGAGTTCCTGGGCCAGGAGCGGAGCTCTGTGATGCTACTCTAGTACATATAAAATAACGGGCTAAGATGCCCTGAAAAGAAATTTGTGAGGGATGCAGACACACAGCTTGTATACTTTAAAGGAGATGGATTTTCCTCTGGTGTAAATGGAGTGGACGTACAGTGCACAGCTTTACAGCAGTGCAAGTCAGTCCACTCCAGGAAAGCAAGGAGCATCCTTACCCCAGTGTACTGCATGGGTGTCTGCTCTGAGCGATCTTTCCCAGGGCAGCTGTCTGCTCAGAGTAGACCAGCTCCTCTGCTGCCTTGCAGCTGGGCACTGTAATAGCTCTTTGCTGCAGGCAGACCATGAGCACAGCTGAATTTGATCCTTATACAGAGTAAACTCTGGACTGAATTAGTCCCTCATAATTGTGCTGTGTGCACGTGCCCTGGTTCCCCTGCAGGTCCTCCTCTTGCATCTGTGTATGCCTGGAGCCTTGGGGAGATGCATTTTGCAATGGCAGCCATTTGCTGGGGCTCTTATTAATGGTGTGAGCTGTTGGCCCTGTTCCAGCGTCACCCAACATGTGCTGTGCAGGTGCACGTGGCAGGGGCCACCCAGCGCTCAGAGATCTCCGGGGCTGCTATGGCAACGTTTCGCACCCATTCTCCTCTCCTTGTGCCCTGATGTGTGAAGACACGAGGAGCGGGGAAATGGGGACTTGCACCTGGAGATCGGACTCAAGGATCTCTACCCCTGCTGTGGCGCTGAGGGGTTTTGGATCTAGCGCACCTGCTGTCTTGCTCGTGTCTTCCCAACTTGTTCAGGAAGGGAACAGGCAGTCGTGATGTTAGTCTGGGAACACGCTGCAGGAGAAGCTGAGGATACAAGCTGTGCATCTCACTAGGGGCTTTGCTTGTAGAGAGCTGAATGACAGGTGGTGGTAAAGGATTAATCCCTGGTGACAGATCTCTTAGCTGCCTGCAGCCATTATCCTGTCACCTTCTGAAACGCCGCCCCCATCACAACCCTTGCTTACCTTTGTGCTGTAACATGTTTATAGTGTCTCTTAATCACCAGCCTCTTGAACCACGTGAGTGGAGCCCTATAAAGCAGCCATTATCAGCTCCCATGGAGACGGGCAGCAGCATAAAACCCTCAGAGAGCCTAGGATCTGGTGAGGGCATTGCTAGGCCTGGTGCTGATGACTGATGCCAGCAAAGCTCAAGCTCAAGGCCTTGCTGTGCTGGTCAGGGGAGCAACTGGGATGTGGGTGGGTAGGTGAGGGGCTCACTCTAGAGGGTTGCAATGCAGGGGAACTGAGGAGTCAGCAAAGGACCAGTCTAGAGGTGGGGTGGAAAAGAAGCAGTGGGCCAGGGGGCATCAGAAGCAGGATGCAGGGATCCAGACTGGCATCACTGGCCTGGGGGTCCAGAGCAGGCAGCAGTAGCCATAACAGACAGGGACGCAGGCGATTGCCAAAGGAAAGCCACCAGCCAGAAGCTGACTGTCCGCAGACAGGTTTGAACTGGAGTCAGGAGCAAAGCGGGGCAAGGAGCTGGCAGGCCTGGAACAAAGAGCCGGCAGGTGGGAGCCACCAAATGAAGGACACGGAGTCAGAAGCCTGGGGCCATGGGCACACCTGTCAGGTCCTGGAGGCTGGACAAATGCAGGGCAGCAAAACAGTTCCTGCCCCAAAGAGCTGATGTGCAAAGAGCCTCGGGACACAGGAGGCAGGAAGAGCACAAAGGAGCCATGAGACACCATTGGTCTCAGCCTCCCAGCCATGGGCAAGGATGGGGCTCCCATGCCTGTACCCCTGAGCAGTGCACAGGCTGCATCCTGGCTGCTTGGGGCTGCAAAGGGGAGGAAGCTGCAGCAAAAGAAGTGCAGTTCTCTGCCCTGCGATCTCCACAAGAGGTGGCCAGGCCATGGCAGGGGCTGGGGATGCTGGGGGTGAGTATCTGAGCTGCAGGCATAGGGGTGTGGGAAGGAGCCAGGCTCAGGGCTAGGAAGGGCATTGCACTTCCTGACTCGTGCACCTGCTGCTACTGCCCCTATTGGCCTGCCCGCACTTGTGCTGCAAGTGTCCGGCAGAGGGCAGCTGGGCTCCTGTCAGCAGCAGGTGGAAGCAGCTGTGGGACATCCAGCAGCATCAGCTGGATCCTGCCCAGCCTCCACCTGCAGTGCCTGCATACTTATACACCCGCTGTGCCCTGTATTAGCTTGGCAGCCGGCCGCGTCCTTGGGGAATGTGACCTCTGTTTTGAAATCTCCTTTGTGCTTCGCGCTCTGGCTGCACTCCAGCCCTGACTCTCACTCCCTGGCTTCTAGCAAGCACCTCCGCTGGGCTGGGCAGCTCCCGGGCTGGTCCCCAGCCCCGAAAAAGTGTCTCGGAAACCATTGTGCCCCCAAGGCAGCCACAGTGGGGGCTGAGGAGGGAGGGGGTATGTGTCTGCTCAGCACAGACGTGCCGCTGCTGAGGGCCCCGAGATGGTGCTGAGGGCTGCTGTGTGTCTGACAGACACAAGAGGCCGGGACATGTGGCTCTATCCAGGGCTGTGCCAGGCAGCTGAATGTGTTTGTTAAAAGGCAACTCCTTTGCTCTCTGCCCAGGGCATTGCAACGGTTCCCCTGTGGCTAATCCCAGCATTAGCTGCTGCCCTGGCAGCTCGGGGCCCTGGTCTGCCTGTCCTCCGATTCCTGCTGATGGCTGTGCTTGCTCCCACCCGCAGCCTATGCCCAGCACCTGCGAGAGGTGGCATGGTACGACCCCATTGTACCTGCTCAGTACCTGGAGCCCAGCACGCGGTGGGGGGCCTTCCGCTGGAGAGACAAGCCCATCCTGGGCAAGGAGTATGGTAAGGGCATGGGGAGGGGAAGGAGGGTCTCGGGCCCCTGCTGCACTTGTGAAGGGGTGGGGTGGGGTGGGCAGCAGCTGGAGCTGGTTACCATGCCCATCACTACGGTGCTTTCGTGACTTCCCTCCATGTCCTCCCAAGGTGTAACTTGGGGTGCCACCTATCCTGGAGCACCCCAGACACAGGGCTCCTTGTGCCTGGTCCCAGTGTGATTCCACACAGGCCCGGGCAAATATATCACTGCTCCTTGCCAGTCCTGGATTAGGACCAGGAGCTGCAGTGCCCCTGTGGGGCTGGGAGCCTTCAGTCTGCCACGCTGGGGAGTCATTTGAAGGGGCTCTGGCCACTGGGTATGGCTGCCTGGAGCCCTCCTGCCCGGGGCTGCTCCTGTTGCCCCTTGCTGTGGCCAAGTGGGCCACAGCTTCCCCCTGCCCGACTTCTTGCCCATGCCCTGCTGCTGCCCCTGCACCACTGCCCCCTTCACCTGCTCTCCTGTTTTCCAGTTGTCAACCGCAACCGCTGCACCAGCGAACTGAAGGGCAAGGCCGGCTACGTCCCCTACCTGTCTACCCACACCCCCCGGTTCACCACCAGGGACATCCGCACCTGGAGCCTGTTCAGCCACCAGCCGTCCACCAGCCAGTAAATGCTGCACTGCAGCTCTAGCCTGTGCTTTCTTGGGGGACAGTGAAGGAGGTGGATGGGCTGGGGTTGCTACTACTGTGGGGTGGCTGGGCAAGTCCAGCCCATTTGGTTTATTGGGCCCTGTGCCCAGCTGAGTCCAGGCTGATGTGGCATTTGTGCAGCACCTGACTCTGATATTGCCAGTGCCACCTCCAGGCTTGTGAACCTGCTGTGGGGGAGCCAGACCTCTCCCAGCCCCTGCCTGCTCAGAGCCACCTTGCTGTCCCTGCCTGGCCCTGGGAACACCCCAGACATCCCCCCAGCAAAGCTGCTGCGGGTCGCCTGGCTCACTTGGCTTTCTGGCTGGCCCAGTCCCTTCGCCAGCCACCCCAGCCTCAGCTCTCGCTCAGCTCCCTGGAGCCCATGGGCGAGCAGAAGAGGGACTGGAAGAGTGGGCTGAAGATCGCTGCCAGGCCACCTGTGCCCTGCACACGGGGCTGAGCCTGTGCTGTGGGTGGCTAGCCTTTCCTCGCATCCTGTGGCTATCCCTCCATCTCCCCTCTCGCGCCAGCACAGCAGGGCCCAGGAGCTTGTCGCTCCCCCCACAACATGGTGCAGGGGGTCTCGGGTGGGGCTGGCTGCAGCACTCTCCTGCTGCGCTGGTGTTTGGAGCCTGGGCCAGCCCTGCTGCTCACACGCTTTCCCCCTCCATCACCTGCCCCACTGGCCTGGGCAGGAAGGGAGGGCATGGCCTTGATGGCTTAAAGATGACCCTGTAACAGAGCTCACAGGCCTTATGCCTTAATCAGCAGCTCTCCTGGGGGCTGTCAAGTGCAGGTGGGGCAGGCATGAAAGGGCCCCACTTCCCAGCTCGGCTGGTCCTGTCTGCTCTGGCTCCAGGACAGCAGCCCTTCCCCTAATGCAGATCCTCATCCCCCCACCTCTGCCCCATGCAGCTGGGCCAGCAACTGGATCTCATCCAAGACCTGCTGCCCTCTGGAGAGGCCGGGAGCCCGGTGCCTCCTTGCAGACACCCGCTCTAAGGAGCCCCCTCAGCCTACAGGCTCCCTGTCTGGGCCCGAGGGAGGGTGCAGGGAAGGGGTGTAGGGGGCAGGCAGTAGAGCAGGGCCATCCTTCCTTCCGCTCACCCCTGAGCGTGAGCAGGACCACTCGATGCATTGATGGACATGGGTAGAGCCTTCCACAGCCAGTGGAGAGTGAGCAGGGCTTGCTGACTGGATGAATTCCTTTATTGATAATACAATACAGCTGTCCTCGCCCCCACCCCCACCCTATCCTTAATCAGGGAATCAAGCCTGGGTTTGGCCAGGGCCTGACTGTACACCTCTAGGGACCAGCTTGTCACTGGGTGCAAGCTGTGAGTGCCGAGAGGTATAAGGGGCACCTTGCCCCCAGTGCCCAGCTCTCAGCCTGACAGCATAATGAAATAGTCCCCAACAGCACTAGACTCAGACCCGTGCAGACTGTGGCTGCAGGGGCAGCCTGGCCCTGGCTCCCCGCTCACACCGGTGGTGCCACCACAGCTGTCACACCATGCATGGCCAGATGGCTCTAGCATTGCCTGCCCTTTCCTGTTGCTCCCGACAGTGTCCCCATGTCCGTTGCCTTCTGGCTGGGGACTGGCGAGGAATTGCAGGCCCAGCTGGGGACCCTGGAGCATGCCCGTGCTGGGTAACAGCAGCTGCAGCACCTCCCTCCCCCTGCCACCCCCATTCCCTGGGGCTGACTGTACTGAAGGTGCTAAGAGAAGCCAATGACAACCCCACCGCAGTGCTCTGCGCAGGCAAAGCCTGAGCCAAGCCTGCCTCTGAGAGCCATGCGTGGTTCCCCACGGTGGAGAACAGAGCTGGAGCCCTGGTCACAGGAGACAGGCGAGAGGCTGCGCTCCTGCACTGCTGCGCAGCCGAGCCCTGGAGCCTGCTCCCAGGCTCGGCTGGCTCCGAGCACGTCCCACCCAGCCTGGCACAGCCAGAGCACCAGACGCCCACCCCCACGCAAATAAACTACACACATGGCAAAGCACATGGATCCGAAACTAGAAATGCCCATTTCCTTTCCCACACAGTGAAGGGTGTTGCCATCTCTTTTGCTCCCAGGCATGGCCAAAGTTCACTGGAAAGTGTCCTGCCCGGTGCAGTTAAACCATTAGTCATTAGAGCTGAGGCAGAAATCAGCAGGGCCAAGGAGGAGCTTCGCGGTCCTTGCTGGGAACGGTCCCAGAGGGCAGGCTGGGGAGCCCCAGGCAGAGGTGCGGAGGAGTGTCGCTCTGGAAGGCGTGTGGTGCCCGACCCCAGGGGAGTGCTAAGGACAAAATACAGCTTGTTCAGGCCCCGGCTGAGGAGGCGGTCTGCCCAGGTCCCTTCCTGGGCCTTGCCTTGTCCGGAATCCAGCACCTGCCACACTCCTTAAAACCAGCCTGAGCTTAGCTCAGCTTAAGATAAAGATGGGTCTCCCAGCAGTGATGGGGGAGCTGCTGAGAGGTTGCGAAGTCTCTGTCCCATCCGTTCTGGGTCAGCGGTGGCTTCTGTCCAGCAGAAAGCAAGGTCCTCCAGGGGCCGGATTCTTTGCTGACTTCAAGTCTTCTTGTATCTAAATACATAAGAGCAAGAAGGTTGGGCTCAGGACTTCCGGAAGGGGGCTCTGCTTGGCGGGGCAGCAGCTCTGGGAGTGAGGGTAGCTCGCTGTTGTAAGGCACAGGTTCCCTGCAAACTCCTGTTCAGCCCCTATGGGCATCACCGCTGCACTCTGCCCCTCAGCATCCTGCCACTGCCGTGTGTGCAAGTCCCTTAGGAACAGGCAGTCCTGCATCAGGAGTTGGACTTAGAGGTCCTTGA